TATTGTATAGAATATTGCATACTGTACAAATTCTTTATAAAAATATTTAATTTTTCCAGCACTTCCTAATGCTTTTCACTGGTTGTATGGCGATTCCTTTTATATTTGCTCCTGCACTGTGTATTGAGGACAACCTATTAGTTCAATGTTACCTAATCAGCACGGTGTTGTTTGTTTCTGGTATTGCAACACTTATCCAGACAACATTTGGTGTTAGGTAAGCAATATTTAAAGCAATTGTAACTAGCCAATGGACCTTCCGCCAAGCCCGCCCCTTGGATTGTTGCGCTAACGTCTCGCACGACAGCGTAAATGTACGTATACACGTGAGTTTGTGGCTCAATACCACTGATTTCTACTATAATTAACTATTTTAGTAGAGATCAGTGCTCAGTAAGTGTGTTTGTGAGACAAGCGCGTATTCTTCGCCCTGTTCTGATTGGTCATTTTGTTAAGTTTGATTGGAAATCTGGGAAGGTCTATTCACTTTTTATTTTAGAATAAACATTAATGATCCGTGTTTATTTCTAACATTTCTGTCAGACTTTAAAAAAAATACGTTTTACAACTAGGCCTCTTTGCAATTAAAAAAAATAATATATTTATATTATTTCTTTCATATTCATCAGCAAATAAACTCGCCAATTATGATGCTTTATAAACTTAAGTTTCTGTGTAAGGCTTAAGGAGTCAATTTTCTTTGACTAACAACTGATATATGCCCATATATCGTCATGATGTGCCTATATATGGTCGTGATGTGATGTCATCATGACCATATATAGGCATATCACATTTTTGTTAAATAAAATGTGAGTCTGGACAGGGCTTTATGATATGTTTTGAACCAAGACCCAAGACTGTTACAAATTCACTCAAAATATAAAATTGAGTCCGTGTATTGAATAATTGTTTCCCTCCGCTGTATACATCTATTGAATTATCATCTGCCATATAATCACAGTATCATGTCTATTTCTTGTTCGATAGATTGCCCATTGCTCAAGGAGGGTCATTTACTTTCATAATTCCGGCTTTAGCTATTTGTAAACTTCACGGAGATTGTCCAGTATACAGTGAGTTATTATACCTCCATTTGAAATGTCTTGTTGTGTCAATGTAGTTAATGGATAAAGTTTGTAGCACCAGCTTATATCTGCTGTTACATTATTATAGCTGCAGTTTATACTAGTTCCTTTCTAATAATAGTAGGCCTATTTTCCTTTTGCATAGACCTATATTGTATTTGACGTAAATCAGCTCAGTTATCTCTTTTCCAACTTTATTCCGGTGCTAGGCGTTAGCACTCTATTCAGCTTATTCTGCTACAATGTTTGTGTTTTGGCAGTCAGATTTTCGATACTCTTTTGAGTGACTGATTTAAACATTATTTTTTTTTATAGAAAACGAAACCGATCTTGTGTCAAATACTCCTGAATGGAAGACACGGCTCTTAGAGGTATTTAATTGATGTTTGTATCCATACGACAAGCGACTTTTCATTTCATTTATTTATTCCGAAAAATGCAAAAGCAGAATTAGATTATGAACGAGGTAAAGCCACATGCTCGCCCAGAGGAATCCAACGAACATGTGTCAACAATAAATCATACAATTACATTACAAAAAATAAAAAAATAAAAAAAAATAATAATAATAGTAATAATAATAATATTGAAAACAATAACAATAAAAAAATAAATATCGAAGAACCAAAACGATCAATTAGTTTTGTAAAGTACTTCCACATCAAGCCCGGATCCTGTCCGAAGCTCAGACAAAAAATCGTGAGTTGCTACGTTTTTTGAACGCTGCGTTCACATTGCGTACGGAACACGGTTATTTTATTGGTGCAAAGAAAAAAAAAGGTACGAATTTGATGTGAACGTTCCTATTCTTTACCACTGAAAGAGACTGAACAAATTTTTACGATTTTTGTCCGGGCACCGGACCGGATCCGGGCTTTGATGTGAACGTAGCTTTAAGGTGATTCTTAAGTTTAGTTGAGAATTGCTTTTAAACTAAAAACACCCTCATTTTGTAGATCAACAGGTAATTATCCCATACCCGAGGTAGGTAATAAATGTAGAGTGACAACATTATTTGTTATACTATGCATTATCACAGGAAAGATAATAGGCCTATGTAAACTATAATTACAACTTTCAGAAATCCTCAAAATGCAAAATTTTGAAATTTTATAGATTCAGGGAGCGATTCTGGCGGCTTCGTTCATTCAGATGTTTCTCGGATTCTTTGGTTTAATTGGTCTTCTGCAGAGGTTTATCACACCCATTGTCATTACACCAACCATTGCCCTTATTGGACTGTCCTTGTTCGAAAGCGCATCTGAGACGGCTGGGTTACATTGGGGTGTATCCGCGGCGTAAGTGTTAACAAAAAGTATAGAATTGTATGTAGCACACTTTATTCCAAAATTGAATATAAGGCCCACATGGCCCAACATGTAACACATGCCTGGCACGCACAAGTGCCAGGTATCACACCAGGTATACCATCACCAAACCTTACATTATTTTTAATTGTTTGTTTATTTTCTGTTCTACTTAATATTATTATTATTATTTTTTTTTGAATTGCAAGAGTTCCGACTGCCCTCATTTTGTATGCACAGAATGAAACGTTAAAAGAAGTACTACCACGTGATAGGGGACGCCCTATTAGAATTCGAATAGCGTTCGCACGAAACTCGTCTTTGAAGGACACGCCCCTTCGTGGTAGTACTTTTTGAAATAGGATTACGTTCCAACGAAACCTCGAGAGTCGTCGAACCTCTTGCAGTTCTATACTCTTTAGTGTTAACAACATTAATCTTCATTTCCTGATAACATGACATTTTAAGATGATTTGTTATTAGATACAACTGTGAAAAAAGTAGTAAACATTGATTAAAATTAACATAACTATGTATTCCTATATACATCATTAGTAAAGAAAAACAGAAAGGTAACGATTTATCAATTGAAATTATGCCAAAATACTGATAAAATATAAACAAGATTGTCGGCTATATAGACCGATGCATTTACAGTATTCTCACTCTGCAGCAGACGCGCGCCATAGCCGGTGGCGCATTCTTATACATTATCTGCTACAAATCTAATATTGGAATTATAGTAGGGTGTATATTAACGTAGTTTGTTTTCATCGTACACTGTACGTAGACATGACATTACACGGGGGAATCCACTGCAATGGCGGCGAAAGGAATCACCCTTTCCAAATTGGAGTTAGTGATTTAGAGGCTTCCGTCATTGACGATAAGAAACTCAACTGATGCATGATGTGTTCGCTTCTAATTGCCACTTTGATTTCAAGTTGTCAGAGAGAAGTGAGAGAGAGAGAGAGAGAGAGAGAGAGAGAGAGAGACACTTTAATGTTGTATACTACCGGTACAGATATTAACTTAATTAAAAATACAGAAGTTGGCCTAATATAGATAATAATGTAAAAAATATTGTTTTTCCTCAGGACTATGGTTAGCATCGTTGTATTTTCGCAATACTTAAGACATCTTGAAGTTCCATTTCACTGTAAACAAGGCTCTAATACACGCTTTCCATTATTCAAACTTTTTCCAGTAAGTGCAATTTCATTAAACCAGCTTTGGTGGAACTGAGTGGAACTTTTGAGACTCAGGGGTTCTCTCGAAAAATGTTGAAAACCATGACCGCCACCTTTAATTTAAAATATTTAATTGCTTTTCAATTGTGTTTGAGTTCAGAGTGGAGCCAGGATTTGCCCGACGGTAGGAGGGGGCGAGTTCCCCGACGGTAGGGCCGATGTCCCCGACGAGAAAAAGCGGGCGTGGACAAGCATCACTCAAAATCCTTCGAAAGTGGTCCAGGGGGCCAAGCCCCTGAAAAATATGACAATTTAGGGGTTTCAAATGCTTATTTAAAGTCTACAAATATGTAGAAAATACATAAATTTTTTATTTCTCCCTAACGAATTGTGGTTTTTCTCCCTGACGAGGGGGGTGGGAGGGGATCAGCTCTCCCCGAAGGGGTCCTGGCCCCGCCCCCCCTCCTGCGCCACCCCTGTTTAAGCTGCTTTCAAAGGAGTTACCATTTTCGTGAATAAACATTGAATCGATTTGATTGTTGAAGAATCGGCAGTACCGTAGGCTATACCATTCAATATGTTATTAGATCAATGTAGTGCTCTTCAGATAGGGTCGCATATAACAAATGACAGTTTTCCATAGTCAACGAAACAGCAGCCCAACGACAAACCACAGATAAGTTTTCAGTTGAATTTATTCAACCGCATGCATACATTAAGAATACAAAGGCTATGACTTTGGTCTAGAGCGGAATCCCTATTATGTGTGGGGTGGGAGGATTGTCCGATCGCCTGACGGGCCTGATAATGTATATGGCCTATCTTTGCATCTTTTCTCTCAAATACTCCAAGAAAAATGATTTATTTAATACAAAAAAAGAAGAAAATAATTGAAAAGCATATGGTCTGGCCAACAACGCTCTTTTCAGAAACGTATAATATTTTGGTTAGAATTCGTTATAACCTTCCTAGATAGGCATATATGACCAAGGAGGTATCCTTGATATGACATACGTTAAATCATTGTAATTTGTAGGTATTATTTGGTATTATTTTTGGTTGGATTGTTTCATTTATTCTCACGGTCGCCGGAGGTCTTCCAGACGATCCTGAACGTTATGGCTACGCGGCGAGAACCGATGTTCGCTTAAATGTTCTGTCAGAGTCCCCTTGGTTTCGGATACCATACCCTTGTAAGTAGAATTGTATTTTTTTAAATTTCATTCGCATCCAACAGCAAGCAACTCGCCAATTACAGGATGCTTTTAAACCGAGCCTCTTTCAGTGGTGGCGCCAGGATTTGCCCGACGGGTGGGTCCGAGGTCTTCAACGGTGTGTCGGGGGTGGGGAGCGATGTCCCCGAAGGAAAAAAAAAGTGAACGTAGAAAATACATATATATTTTTTCTCTCCCCCCCCCCCGTTGGCACCACCCCTGGTCTCTTTATGAGGTTGAGGGAGTGGAGGTGATTTTAGTCATGTGAAAATGTCCTCCTGTCACAGGAATTGAACCCAGGACCCTGGGATTAGAAGCATCTTAACCACTAAGCTGAACAACTCCACTACAATATATATTGATTTTTAACAAAATCTATCTTCAAAAAAATTGTAGGAAAAATGAAATATTGTACATGATCTGCGGAGGCTTCCGTCTGTAAGAGCCTGCAAATACATTAAAATAATACCTAATGGTCAAGATTACAAGAAAAAACTAGCAATCGTTTATAAAAAAAATCTTACAAGAGCTGCAATAGATAAGTCTTATAATTTCCATTTATAAGTATTATTAGACAGGAAAAATCTTGCATAGTATAAGAATACATAAAACGTACATTTTAATTGTTAACGATTGTCTGAATTTTTACAGGCCAATGGGGTATTCCGAAGGTCACTATTGCAGGTTTTATCGGCATGACAATTGCTGTATTCAACTCTATCATTGAATCTGTTGGCGATTACTATGCGTGCGCAAGGCTTTCTGGAGCACCTCCTGTACCCAGCCACGCTATGAATCGCGGGATTAGCATGGAAGGACTCGGTTGTTTTATTGATGGCCTCATTGGCAGTGGATGCGGTACTACGTCATACAGTCAAAATATAGGAGCAATTGGGATAACGAAGGTATAACAGTACAGTGGCGTATCTAAGAGTCTTGAATTTTTTGGGGGGGGGGTGGGGACTGCTGATAGGGGCGCGAAGATGAAGTGGTGATCGATGCTTAAGTGAGAGCAACTACCTCACAAAATAAGGTGATATGAGGTCAATAGGCAGGCCCGTAGCCAGGTTCTTCCAAGGGGGAGTTTTCTGGGCGTGAGGTCCACGGTCGAAGCCCCGGTGAGGTCGGCGAAATTCTTAAAGCAAGTGCTTTATGGGTCTAAAAAATGCTATAAAAGCAGATATGTTTGAAAGGTCTTTGTCTGGGTGGGTCTGCAGTGCATTAAGAGGGGGGTTCGCCAGAAAAGAGGGGGTTTGCTAGAAAAGGGTTTCTCCCGAACCATAAACCCCACCCCCTGGATACGGGCCTGATAGGGGAGCCCGGGGAGAGGGAGTGTGCATATGCGCACTCCCTAAATACGATACTGTACATCAGTTTCTATAGAAAGTATTACTACTAATAAAATTCTCGCAAGTAATTCAGATTGAAATCCAAATAATAAAATATAAATAATTAAATTTCTTGTAGGTTGCCAGCCGTTCTGTTACCCAGCTTGCTGCTGCTGTTATGATGATTTTAGCTATCTTTGGTAAATTTGGCGCGATATTTGTCTGTATTCCAAGCCCTGTTATTGGTGCAGCAATATGCATCTTGTTTAGTAAGTAAATATTATTATATTATAATAATACATCATTTAGATATATAAATATATACTGTATATACATATATATATATATATATATATATAATAAATTTAGAAATTAAATAAATTAAATTATTCTGGTGATGAAATTGTTTAAAATGCAAAGAATACAAATGAAATACAACCAAATTTACAACACGAGGAACATCACTACAGTTATTACAAACACAGAGTTGAAACATATAAATTATTAGGTCATTAATTTTTTTAATTGAATCTTGATTACACTACTCCAATTTTATATAAAACAAATTAATAATAATAATAATAATAATAATAATAATAATAATAAAAGACATTTATAAGCCGACCCCAGAGCGCTTACATTTATTCATATTAATACAGTACAGTTAAATCGACATAATAATAATAACAGAAATTCATACTACAATGTATAATACTTACGTATTTACAAAATTATTATAAGCAAAATATTTTAAAATTATTTATTATAAGCATAAAACAATGATAACAATATAATGACAAATCTTCACTTGAATATCTATCTTTATATTATCAAGGCATGATTGTTGGTGCCGGTCTTTCAAACCTTCAATTTATCGACACCGATTCTTCCAGAAATAATTTCATCATCGGAGTTTCAATCTTTATGGGACTAGCTCTACCGAACTGGTTATCGAAGAACTATGATCTCATAGATACAGGTATTCTGCGTATTGATCCAATATTAATAATAAGGCCAAAAAATATATATATACTTGCTTAGCGTCACCGCCCAACCCTGATTTCCTAGCTGCCTCTCATTTTATTTTTTTTTTTTTTTTTTTTGTAAAAAAGTGATGAAAATTGACTAAGAATAACGATAATAAACAAAAAACGATCGTTTCTTTTCATCGTCAGCACATGGAACAAGCAGAGCCGTAGATAGAGAAAGTTTGGCCAAGTTGGCGCATGGACGCCATGTCGTTACCTAACAGTCTAAAGTCTAAAGTTGTTGTCTGATGTAAGATATTGCCATTCTAGGCATCTGTGTGTTATTTTTATTCCATCTGATGAGTATTTAAAAAAATAAAATGAAAAAAACTTTTTCCACACCCACCCCTATTTATCATTTAAAAAAAAGAACGGCAAACAATTTATTTTATTTGGCCCATCGTTTGACCTTGCAATAGGCTAAGCTACCTGCAGAAAAAAATTCGCTTCCCTCACATGTGCTTGTTAATAATAATAATAATAATAATAATAATAACGATTTTTAAAGCGCAAACATCACCACCAACGATTTGATCTTATTTCGTTCTTTTTAGATAATAAACAATGTTTTAAATATGATAATAATAATAAAGTACTATGAAGACAAATAATAGGTTACGACCTACTACGCTATAATTGGCAGATGTTTTAGGCCTAGCCTAAATAGGCCTACTACTAGACCCTAGGCCTAGTAGTAATAAGAATGGCCAGGCTACAGTTAGCCTACGGAACCCCAAGGCCTATTAAAATATATATTGTACAAACAAATCTTTTATGTAAAATTTAGTGTCTGTTATGGCCTTTGTCAAAGATTTGGCTTGGCACCAATGCAGTTTTTGAAATCTCTTGGCCTAAGAAGCCTACATAGTAGGTGGTAACTAGGCCTACCGCCTAGGCTGGGCCTAGGCCTAGGCCAACAAAAAACCAAAAAAAAAAACAAAAAAAAAAACAAAAAAACGACGCTAAACAAGTTTTTTTTTTTTTGCCTAATAAGTTTTTAAATTCATGATATCATATTCACAATGGACCGTTCAAGACGCTAGGCCTTGGAGAGCCCATAAATGTAAAAATTTACCACAAATGTAAAAATAGGCCTAACCACAAATGTTAAAATTGTACCCGCGAATGTCAAAATAACCACTGTCATAACATGTCAACCACAAATGTAAAAATAACCACAAATGTAAACAAAATCGCCCACAAGTATAAAAATCTGTTTAACCTGAAATATGAAAAAAATTCGCCTACAAAATAAATGTAAAAATCACCATTTTTACCTCAAATGTCATGTCAACCGAAAATGTAAAAATTCATTGCTTACATAGGCCTATACAAATGTATAACACATTAATTGAAATTATATGAAATTATACGAAATGATATGAAATGATATAACAATATGAAATTAGGCCCATATGATATGAAGTTATATGAAATGATATGAAATGTGAAATGATATGAAAAGATATGAAATGATATGAAAAGATATGAAATGATATGAAAAGATATAAAAAGATATGAAATAAAATGATATATGAAATGAAATGTTATGAAATGATATATAATAAAATTTAATAATATGAAATGTTATGAAATGATATGAAATGAGCAGCTAAGCTCAGTCGGCTAAACTGGTGGTAGCCACTGTGTGTGCGCTGAACTGTAGAGATCTCTTGGCCCTCGGGTTCAATTCCCACTGCCTATCTTTGTATTTCAGCTAGAGTGCTGAAATGCAAGTTGTGATAGCGCACCGCCTTTCGGATGAGACGTTTAAGCCGTTTGTCCCGTGTGCATTATGACCCATGTGCACGTTAACGAACGCAGTGCACACTTCGGAAAAGATTAGGGAATTGTCTCGTACAATAGGGGGTCCCAAGTCTCCCAGAAGTCGCGGGAGTCTCCCAGAAATCGGGACGGCCTTCCTCACTCTCACAAGCAAGCAAGAATCTTCCGGAAAATAACCCTTCTCCCGCAAATTTATAAAATTATTACTTTATGATATTAAATTGAGATAAATAGAAGCTCAAAAATTGCTGTTAATGATAAGGGCCTAAAAGGATAGAAATACGATATAAACTTTTTAGATTTGTGCAGGCGCTCGGCGGCAAATTGTATCAAACATTTCTGCCTTACTCAAATTAGATGATAAATATTCATGTAGTCTAGTAAAATGTTTTAATAACTTCGTATGCTTCTTAATGAGAATATTAAATTTTAGTTATTAATGTCTATGATGTCTATCAGTAGTTAAATTAAACATATTAATATTTCATAAAAAAGCTCAGAAAATAATCATTTTACACGGAAAATATTAATGTTCCGAATACTCCTGTAGTCTTTGTCAACACTTAACACTTATACACATCTTACGTTAATGTGTGTAATATAAGGGTTTGCGAGGCAAGTTACTAACATAACAAAAATGTTTCTCAATAGTTGACGATGTATTGTCCTCTGAAAATGACAAGAAATTATCATACAAATTTATTTTTGAAATTAACTTGCGAATTTTGCATTAAAGTACAAATGATTTACTTGCCCATGCGAATTAGTGTATTCAAGTTTTCTATACTTGGTCCAGACGTACAGGGCGCCCTTCTGTTGCTAGGATAAACAGGCGGCCTTCTTTTTCCACTAATGGAGGAAAATCACTAATCAGAGTCCGCTTTTGTGTCTGTCATTTTATTGATTTATTTATACCTACTTGTTTGTATATTATGGATAATGGCAACAATTTCAACCTCCGCAAATGGAGGCTATGTATTCACAGTTATGTAACGGTGGCAGAAGTTTTTTAGATCCAGCCGTACGCGGCGCCCCATTGTTTGTATTCCCACCATGAATTTCGGTGGAACAGTTTTTTTCTGTTGAGAACTCTATCTTGTGTTTCTAGTATCTTTGCTTAAAGTTGAGTGTTTATGGGACGTTCTCTCTGTTCTCTGTTCTGATTGTTCGGTTGTTAAGTTTGATTTGACACTTGAAACTTTTGATTGTCGCTTATGTTTTCAGGTGTTGTTGAGCTTGACCAAGCTTTTAAGATTCTTCTTTCGACTAATATGTTTGTTGGCGGAGTCATTGCTCTCATTCTTGATAATACTGTTCCGGGTAAAATACATTCAATGTCGTACTTTGTTTAATGATTATTGTATTTTGATAGGCTTATAAGTATTCTAATAATGATAATAAAAATAATATTAGTAATGGTGGTAATGAAGACGATAATGTTTAATTATATTAAAATGATGTTATAATAATAAAAATAATACACAATTTTAAATATATTAAAATAATTAAATTAAAAAATAATGATATTAAAAATATAAGTTTTTTTTTTTATAATGAGAGTGATAAATATAATGATGAAATTAATATGTCTAATAACGTCATATTCTGTTTTATATAATTCGGTCTAGGAACGTTTACGGAGCGTGGGGTCGATACGTGGCAACGGGGACAAACGATCGATACAGATACTACAGTTTCCTTGTACGACTGTTATGACTTACCACTTGGAATGTCCTATATTCGGCGATCAACACTATGGCGTTATCTACCATTTAGTCCAACGTTTAAGGGGTATAAATCTGCTTAGTTTTATCAAATGCTGGTCGGTGATATAAATTTAGTGAGAAAATGTAAACACGGTTTGTAATTCATGCAGCGTAATATCTATCAGAATATGTTGTATCTTTGGTA